CTGCAGAGCTGAACGACTGCTCAGCTTCATTGTTCCACGTCTGCGGTTCCTCTCTGTTGTCCCTCCTCATCTCTTCTTTTTTCTTGTCTTCTGCTCTCTGTTGTCTTCTCTTTGTCTTCTTCTCAGTGTCCTTCTCCTTCCATTCTTCTCCTTTGTCCTCTTCTTTCCCTTCTCTTTATGTTCTCCTTTTTGTCGTCTCTCTCTTATGTTTTTTCCTCCTTCCTCTGTTCTTTTTGTATAATTCTCTGTTGTCTTCTCTTTTTTTGTTTGTGTCCTCACTTATCATCTTCTCTGTTATCTCCACTCTTTTGTCCTCTTCTCGGTCTTCCTCTCTTCTCTGTTTTGTCTTTTTTCCTCTTCTCTTGTCCTCTTTTTTCTTTGTTCTCTCCTTCGTTGTCTGTCTCTCTCTTTGTTCTTGTCTTCTTCTGTCCTCCTTGCTTTTATTCTCTGTGTCCTGCTCTTTCCATTCCTGTTTTGTCTTCTTTTTCTCTCATTTGTCCTCTTCCCTCCGTCTCTTGTCCATTGTCCTCACCTCTGTTGTCTTTGTCTCCTCTCTCTTTGTTCTTGTCTTCTCCTATTTTCTGTTGTCCTCTTCTGTTTTGTCTTTTCTTCTTCTCGTCTCCTTTGTCCTCATTTTTTTCTCTTTGTTGTCCTCGTCTTTCTTTGTTCTCTTCTTCTTTGTCCTCTTCCCTCCTTTTCTTTTCCATTGTCCTCGCTTCTGTTGTTCTTTTTTGTCCACTTCCCTCCTCATTTGTCCTCTTCTCTTTTTTCTTTGTTGATTACTTTTCCTCTTTTCTTTTTCCTTGCCATCTCTTCTTCTATATGTCCTGCTCCACATTCCTCTCCTTTGTCTTCATCTCTTGTCTTCTGTTTGTCCTCTTGTTTCTCTTCTCTCTTTTCGTTTTTCCTCCTTTCTTTTCGTTGTTCTATTGTCCTCCTCTCCTCTCTTTCCGCTCCTCTCTTATCCACTCATTCTTTCTCTCCTCTGGGTGAGATATTGCCTCTGTGATACGTTGTGACAGTGACGTTAATGGAAGCACTGTACATTTAACGACCTATATCTCCGGAAATTCCTCTGCCGCTTCTCATTGCTCACACACAAACACATACACACACACAAACACACAACACACACACAGAGAGAGAGACACACACATACACCTGAAACAATACAAAACACAATCAGTGCAGCACATACAGGTCTTTACACCTGTAAACACAGCAGATACATGTGTGTATTCGTTCGATTAATAAGATTATTGGATCATGTGTTTATGCAAGTGTGTTTGTGTGTGTGTGTTTTGTGTGTGTGTGTGTGTGTGTGTGTGTGTGTGTGTCAGGGGACACGTGTCGTTTAACTCGCCATGACTCTCACTGGGATGTGTGTGCGGTGTGATGTGACACAACTGTCAACAGCACAACAAAAGAGCGAGGGAGTTGTTGAGCCGGGAAGACGGGGTGAGAAAGAGTAAGTGAGCAGAAGAGAGTGAGCAGGGATGGAGATGATGAGCGGAAAAAATGATGAATAAGAGGATGAAAGAGAGATGAGAACGGGTTGTGTGAGCAAGGCAGGACAGACGGAGGAAGAAAGTAGAGACAGAACAAAGGGAAACTATATGAACGGATTATTAACGGTACACTGGTAGAGAGGCTGTATGTGCCATGATATGGATTTGACTAAACTGGAAGGATATACATTACACTGTATAATAAGGCGACATCAAACAACAAAGAAACAACGAGGTTCAAAGTGTTAGCAAATCTGCTTTAGAATTCAAATCCTTTTGTCTCCCTCACTGACTCTCTCACCGACTCTCACATTGAATTTATGGGTTTCTGAACAGAAAAACATTTAAAACATAGTATTTGAAGTGGAGAGGAGTCCAAACTCTTCTCCACTCTACATTTCCACAATTACAGACACTTCTACCGTCAATAAAAGAGATGTTGTACATGAAAGCCTTCTGTCGACCGTGGAAAACATTAGTTGATTAATTAGTCACAGAAAATGAATTTACGATGTATTGATTCCACGTTCTCCAGTGTAAGGTGTTTGTGCTTTTCCTCATTTTATATGATAGTTACCTGAATGTCGTTGGGTTTTGCACTGTTTGTCAGACTATACAAAGACTTTGAAGATGTCACAATGGGCTGTTTTTAGTATTTTCTTATTTTTTATAAAGCAAACTCTTAATGTCAGATTCTGTTTGTTGCGGCCCTACTTCCAATGGTTCAATAGGCGCCCCCCTCACTTCCATATGTGATATATTTTAATATTTTAATTTGAAATATTTGTAGAAAGTGTTGAGTTTCATTGACCATAGCGTAACACAAAAAACGACTTGAATTAGGGATTAAAACTGTATTTTTTTATAAGAAAAACTCAGGGCACTCATTGCATTAATAGAAATGGTATTGTGGAAGTTAATGTTATGCATAATTTATGAATGAATAACAACTTTTATTTTATAATTTACAAAATTGTATTTCTGAAGAATGTAGCAGCTTGTTTTCATTCCCTGGTTCTCAAATACAGAAGTTTTGTAGCCCCTTGGCATCTCATAGACACATCTGTTTGAGACGCACCAGGCTTCTATGTTAAGACAGTCCACACCTGGAGGTGTTGGGGTGGATGGATGGCTCATAAAAACACAGGACTTTTACCCAGGAGACCAGGGTTTCTGTTGAGTTATTTTAAATTTAAAGGTACATAAATTATGTTACGTGTCCATTACTTGCAGCATAACTTACGTTGTGTGATTTATGTAACTTAACGTAGTTATTTCAACCCAAGCCATAATCTTTTCCGAAACCTTATCTAGTAGTTTTGGTGCCTAAACCTAACCAAACTGTGACCATTTACCTCGTGTTAAAAAGGCTGTAAGGCTTTTGGCTGAAAGACACGTGTCATACATGTGCAGGAAATATTTCGGAAGGCAATCCTGTATGCAGATGATGTTCCGTCTTTATTCCACTTGTGCAGAACTTCAACACAAAACCTACCAAACAATTCCAACAAACTACTATGTATATGTGAAATTAGCTACCCTACACTACACTATGCTATGTCTTGCTTGTTTATCCATTAATAGCATGTGTATGGTTCTTTTATGTCAAGTTGTATTGACCTTTGAGAAGTAAAATGACCTGTTTATGTAATATTCTCCAGTATAGTATAGTATAGTATAGTGTAAATGTTCTGATTGATTCAGATTTTTTAGTAGACAAGAGAAGAAGGTAAAATTAACATCCTCCGCAATGGAATTTACAACTGGATGTTACATTGCTTTGTCACACAAGGAGAAAACATGGTTGATCTAGACAGGAGAACTTAATTATTAATAAATGACATTAAATAATATAAATCATTTAATATATTTTATTCCATTCATTTTTTTTAAAAATGTTGGTGCCTAAGAACGTTGCCATTTTTTCTGACAGTTGTTGGTGCTCATACAGTATAAATGTAAAGTTGGAGTGGAAAAAACTGATGCACTACTTTGTTCACTGTGTTTTGATTTGACTTACAATGTTTCCACAACTCAAACCACTTCAATGTCACATTGTGTCCTTGACTTCCCATGTTGAAAATACAGGATGTAAGAGTATGAATGTGACAGTGAAACTGGGATTCCATCATACCTCCATCAACTTCCACTCCACCGTCTCTTTTCTCCACCACCACAGTGCATCCTGCATTAGCTGAGCAATTTGCATATTAACCCTTAATTGGAAAATTCTCTCTTTCCTCTATCTAATTGATTCCCAATAGTGGATGTTTTGACAGCTGCAGCTGCAGCTTGTGGAGCTATAATCAAATCCCACATGTTGCTTAACCTTTTACTTCCACTCCAGCTGATTAGCTGCTGTCAGGCAGCACATGCATGATATTTACATTTTTGTGAATATTTTCATGGTCAGTTTGGCCGCTCCTGGTACATATAGTTTTCTTTTCAGTGCAATAAAACCACATGTATTGTTATTAGCAGTGGAGTTTGCCTGCTGCTCTGATGCTTGATGTTTTATTTCAGCTTAACTTTCACATGAAATTGTGTTGCAAATTTGATAAATTCCCATAATTGTTTGTTAAGTATTCCTGAGCAAATCTGTCTGATCTAGCAATATAATGCCAACTGAAATTAAATTCTTTAATGGTTCCATTTGGTTCAGTTTATATCAAGTTGTTTGGTTTTTTTAGAAAAAATCTGGACTCAACATGTGTCCCTGTGTAGGTAAATAGAAATGTGTGTGTGGTGTTTGCCATGCCATCAGCCTGTGGCATGTAAAGTTTTGACCTGAGCATGAACTCTACACTGACATTTAAAATGTCTCTATCCTGCTGTGTGTGTGTGTGTGTGTGTGTGTGTGTGTGTGTGTGTGTGTGTGTGTGTGTGTGTGTGTGTGTGTGTGTGTGTGTGTGTTATGGTTATTCAGACAACAGTACACACTTCCTGGAGGGCACAGCCACACACACACAGCCTCACACATTCTCTGGGTTTATCTGTGTATGTGGATGAATAGCAGAAATAGCTGAGAAAATGTTTTTTGGTCTTGCTGGTTTAACAACTGAGGGAAGAATTTGAATTATTCTTCAGAACTGTTCGGCAGCTTTTAACTGTTTTTTTTCATTTCTTGCTTTTTGCTTTTTATTTTTTCATTCAATGTGATTTAGCACAATGTTACTATGTGTGATATTGACTTCCGAGACAGATGTCTGACGACTTACAGATACAATCTAAATTAAATACAAAGATTTTTATTTATTTTTTACATAATAATCTCCCACCTTGACTTAGATGTATAGAGTCATTTTGTTCCAGTTGAGTAAAACTTTCCTTCTAAAATAATTAGTTTATGCAAAGCACAGAAGGCAGGCACATTAAAAATTAATGGTGTTTATTTTACATAATTAATAAATAAATAGTTGGGGGACGCTTGGTTGTTGTTTTTATGTGAATTAATAAAAAATAAAAATCTCTCTTTCTCTCCTTGTCTCTCAGGTGTGGAGGCGGAGCTTCTGTCTGAAGCGGCTCCTGTGGTCGTTTGGAGACTCATCGAAACCATCGAGAAACATGGTGAGAGAATACAGACAAATGTAGCGATCATATTTGTTAGAGGAGGGGTACTCAACCTGGGGTTGTAAAATGACAGGAGACCAGTTAAAGCTGCTGTAGGCAACTTTTATAAAAATAACTCTTTGTCATATTTGCTGGAACTTTCACTATATTCTGACAGTAGAACACGAAACTGATAATCCAGTGGGTGAATGAAAACAACCAATCAGAGCCAAGAAAGACAGCTTATTGTTGAGTTTCATTCCCATGTTGTCAAATACTGATGCTGGGAATGAGAGTCAATTCAGGCCTCATGCATTCTTGCAAATGCCATTAAGAGCACTAGGAAGAGCCACAGGAACCTGATTTTATTCATAGATTATCTATCTCATGTCCTTCTGTCCAGATATAGTGGAAGTTCACAAAAAGGTATTTTCACAAAATGTACCTACTGCAGCTTTAACAAACAGCTACATTAACATAATATTTTTCTGCATGTTTTGACTGTCGAAGGCAGCTAATATTAGTAACCTTGCATCGTTGTTTGGCAAAGTAAACAGCGGTTTATGATTGGTATGAGGGCAAAATGAAAAGCTTCTGCACACAGCACAGATTGCTGATGGGCAAAGTCCCAAGTAACAGTAACACTTGCTACTGACACCATTTTACCCAGCCTGGAAACTGTGACTGTGACGACAAGATTCAGGAAGCAGCACACAGCTATATCCCCTTGCTGCTAATCTTTTTGCTAAACTAGGGGAACAATATCTTGAATCCAGCTCCTTATGTAACAAACAGACAGATTAATATCCATGTTCTCATTTCACTATTACATCAACAGTATTTCATTTCTAAAGTAGCTTATAAGTAAGAGCACCTAAGCTTCCTCTCACATAAGGAATACATGTTATATTTTTACCCTCTGAGCGCAGAAGGTGATGCATTGTTTAATTCAGCAAGAGCAGATGAAAAATGTAATTTAACACAGCATCAGTAACCTGGAGCCATTATAGCAGACTTTCATCATTTGTAAAGCATACATCTTATATATGTCTGTCATAGCCTTAAGGAAAAATGTTTCCAGGCTGACACCCAGCAATTTACTCAGCTGACGTCTCACCTCTCTCTTCTGCGTTTGTTCTTTGTGCAGGTTTGAACAGTGAGTCTCTGTATCGAGCTCCTCCAGCCTCCAGTGGACCCGCAGAGCTGCGCCAGGCTCTGGACTCAGGTACACACACGAAATTAATCAAAATTAATTAATTGAAGTGGAGAAATTTAATCAGATGTGAGGGTTCGCTGCATTTCTCTGTTCATAAGAGATTGAATTGAGATTGGAACTGTTGGTCGGGTAAAACAAGCAACCTAAATATGTTGTCTTCGGCTCTGGAAACTTCTGATGGGCTCAGTTATCTCCCTCTGACCATCAGTACTTTAACACAATTAATTTTTCAATTCAATTCAATTCAATTTTACTTGTGCCAATTCATAACAGTTATCTCAGGACACTTTTCAAATAGAGCAGGTCTAGACCGAACTCCTTATAACATTATTTACAGAGACCCAACAGTACCACCATGAGCAAGACCTTGGCGACAAGGGCAAGGAAACACTGCCTGTTAAAAGGCAGAAACCTAGGACAGATCCTTCGGCTCTAGGTGGGTGGTCGTCTGTCTCGACCAGTTAGGGTGAGAGAGAGACAGAGACAGAGACAGACAGACAGACAGACAGACAGACTGTTGCACAGCAACAACCGTAGCAACAAATACACTAATAGTAGTGACTGATGATGATGAATATGAAGAAGATGATGACAACAACAACAGCAACGATGGGGGACAATGAGCAGTGACAATAGTAATAATAGTATTAATAACAACAATAATATCAGTGATATTAGCAATGGCAGTCAAGCAGGATCCATGGCAGGAGGCTCCACCAGGATCCATGAGAACCTGCGAGACGAGAAAGCACAAGAACTCCGGGGAAGAAGTGAAGTTAGTAACATGCATTAATGGCACATGAATGAGTGCAGAAAGAGAGAGGAAGAGAGGAGCTCAGTGCACCATGGGAAATCCCCCGATAGTCTAGGCCTATAGCAGCATAACTAAGGGATGGTTCAGGACTCACCTGATCCAGCCCTAACTATAAGCTTTATCAAAGAGGAATGTCTTAAGCCTACTCTTGAATGTGGTGAGGGTGTCTGCCTCCCGAACCACAACTGGAAGCTGATTCCACAGGAGAGGAGCTTGGTAACTGAAGGCTCTGGCTCCTGTTCTACTTTTAGAGACTATAGGAACCACAAGTAGCCCAGCATTCAGAGAACGTAGTGTTCTAGAGGGGTAATAGGGTACTATGAGCTCTTTAAGATATGAAGGGGCCTGACCATGAAGAGCTTTGTAGGGGATTTTATATACTGAATATCATAATCTGATATTAATTCATTAACTAAAACAGCTTTAGATAACAGAGACCTGATATTTAAGTCCACATTTCATTCTTTTATTTTGTGCTACTGAGGAGTTAGTTTGAATTTTTATTAGGTTTTTATGTTGAACTCCTCTTGTTTTTATTTCTTTAAATAATTTAGGTGGTCGGGGGACAGACACAGTCTCTATGGGGTTTTGGGTGGGTGACTGTTCTAAAGAAAGAGCAGAGAAGTGTGTAAGACAGCAGCTCTGCTTCCTGGTCCTAACTCTGGACTGTCAGGTTTTAGAAATACCCTTCTCGGTAACACTTTATAATGAGTACACACTATTAAGCCTTAGTTAAGCATGTATAAATAATGAATTCATCATTTATAACGCATGAATACACATTAGTATGTAGTTTATAAACAGTTAAAATGTTTTATTCATCATTGATAAGCACATTAGTTATGGATTAGTAAATACTGAATTCATCATTTATAAAGCATGATTCTGCTGTAAATAGTCATTACTATGTGGTTTATAATCACAGTTATAAATGTTTTACTCTTCATTGTACTGTACATTTCTGCATGCACTTGCACATCCACTATTCAGACATGTATTAATGATTAGTGACTGTGTTAGCAGATGTTCTATAAAAACTCACAACAAATTCATTTTCTAATGATGGCCTATAAACAGTTATTAATGCAGGAATTCACAGTTACAAAGCACTTACTACTCCTTAATTAAGTATTTTGCGCGAGCTTATCTAAAGTGAGCACTATCTATGGCTTATTAAGCATTTACAAATGAGATATAAAGGCTGACAATGCCTCGAGACTCACAAAATGTTCAGTTATCTTAACAGACGAAGGAGAGACACAACACAAAGGGATATAGAACATATTGTAGTCTGTACTCATGATAAAGTGTTACCAACTTGTCCATATTCCTAGATAAGAGAGCCGCTCCGTCCAAAGTGGGATGGATGCCGTCTCTCTTAATCAGACCAGGTTTTCCCCAAAAAGGCTTCCAGTTATCAATGAAGCCCACATCGTTTTCTGGACACCACCTCGACAGCCAGCGGTGGAATGACGACATGCGGCTATACATGTCATCACTGGTCACATTACACATAACTGCTTCCTTCCTGGATTCTTATGTGGAGTTTTATTATAAATACAAAGGCTTCACTTTGATTTACAGATTAAATTTTATAAAGGTATAATATGAAGCACGGATGGTAACAGACAGTATATTTGTTTTTCTTAATATTTCAATATAAATGCTTCTGAAGGGGTAAATCACTGGTATGGCAACTGCATGGTAGCTAAAGTACTCTTAACTGTATTACTAGGACAGATTTCACATAGTGCAGAAGTATATTAAGAACATTTATTGTGTCCTTTGAAGACAGAGGAAAGCCAGCTCCGGGACGGTTCAGAAAGTTATTATACAGTCTATAGTTAAAGATCATCTTTAAGTTGAGTCTGAACGCCTGCGTCGACACCCAGTGTCTCTACAGAGAAACACAAAGAGAAGACATTGACACTGATGGAAGATGCAACTCCTCTTCGTCAGCACAGTTTAGTAAAAGTTTCTACCAGTGTCCTTTACTATACTTTTCCACCCCTGTATCATCATGTACAATGTCATACACTTCAGAACCGCCCACATAAAAGAGAGACGAAGCTGAGCAAATGAGAGTAAAGCCCCTTTCAGCCATGCACCTCATTACAGAAACCGGTGATAATTTTACATGTCGGTCGTGTCTGAATAAGCTCCTGAGGCACATTTACATAAAGGTTGTGGTACCATTCTTACCAGGTTGAGTAATTTTTCTGTAAAACTTCCAAGAAGTCTCAACTGAATGAAATGTAACAGTAGCCCAAGGTTAAATAGACAGACAGATAGATTGATATAAAGAAAGAATTTCATGGGCACAAAGAAAATAAAAAATAGTTTGTTTAACCACAGTGTAAATGCAAGCCTTTTTGGGTTGTAGAGGTCAGATCAGTCTATAAAAATGTGCTTTCAGTTATTTTGTTCTAAAGTACAGCAAAGGAGAAAAGAAAACATTCCTGATAGAATTACATTAACTGATGCTGCCATCTCATTTTTTGTCAAAACTGTTGAGGACAAGGTCGTGTTGTTTGAATAAACTTTGTTGGAATTGTAAATAGACAAAAGTAACCAGTGTAAGAACCCAGGAATACATTCATAAAGCAACCCCTGTCGCGGCCGGTCAACTCATCAATGCGGCACATAAAAGTCACAGGTATGGAGCTATTTTTGTAGAAAAGCTATGTACAAACTGTATCTCAATCTGTGTGTGGGTAATCAGATTGGTAAATGTGTAAAAGAATGTACTGAGATTTGTGAATGTGTACAGAAATCTGCAAATGTGTTTTCAGAATCTGTGTGCGGGTAATCCGATTTGGAAATTTGTAAAAAAAAATCTACAAATCTGTATTGAGATTTCTAAATATATAGACAAATCTGTAAGTGCTCACATTCATTTTAATGGCCGAAGTATTTGCTCCAAGAGCTGGAAATACAGACAATGCATCAGTTACAACTCAGGCGGGACTCTCAGTTGTTTTTTTTTGTATGTGACTTTTGCTTCACTTCAGCTGTGGCAGATCTGCCAATGCGTGTGGCGATCTGTGTGTGTGAGGAGAGATTTGTCGTTGTGTTTCTGTTACCTTAGAATGAGCAGTTGTGGATATAATGTTCCACAAACAAACAAGGATTGCCATCAATTATCTGTTTTATTCAGCCACAGAATGATTGCAGCGTTCTTAATGTGATGATTGTCTTGGTTCTGAACAAAGAAAAGAATCAAATTACAATTTCTCTCCCAAACAAATCTTAGATCCTGTCTGTAAATCAAGTATGTAAATATAATATCAAATGAATTATATACAATTGTAAATTAAAATTAGCCAGGCATATAATATAATATCACCATAATATTATTTTACAAATTTACCAAATGGCCTTCCTGTCCTGTTGCTTACATTGAAGGTTCATCAAAAAACACCTGGCAAACACCCACAAACACGCATTAGAGTGAAATATGTGGAGACAAAGAGGAGGAAGACATGTATTAAAGGTCCAGTGTGTAACATTGAGGAGGAGCTATTGATAGAAATGGAATATAATATTCACAGGTGTATTTTCATTAGTGTATAATCACCTGAAAATAAGAATTGTTGTGTTTTCATTACGTTAGAATGAGACGTTTTTATCTACAGAGGCAGCGGGTCCTCTTCTGGCGGGGTCCGCCATGTTGAACCGCCATGTTTCTACAGTAGCCCAGAACAGACAAACCAACCACTGGCTCTAGAGGGATTTTCAGGTTTTTCGTGAGTTTTGCAGCCACTGCCCAGGAGGGGGTTGCAATCAGCAACAATCCTACACCCTGTTATTTATTTATTTATTTGTATAGTACAAATAATCGACTTGGAACAATAATGTGTGTTTGGTATGTTTTTTTCTACAAAAAAGTATAATTTCCACATTAAATTCCTTCAAACATCATCTGCTCCTTCTACAGTGTAATCAAAAATTGTAAGTAACACAACCTTATTATTTTAAGTTCAAAAACATTCATGATTAAGCAGCTTTTACTAGTAATTTGAAGCGACACCAACTTAGTTGTACAAGTTACAGAAACATTCCTGATTAAGTCCTTTTTACTTTTAGGTATTTTGTTTTCACAGTACAAAATGCCAAAAAATTACAAAAATAATGTTTTTTTTAATTAACAACATTGAGTTTGTTTTAATTAAAATTGTCAATGTGATCAGTTTCA